TTGTTTCGCGGCGCGTTATTTTACCATAAACCCCTCCCTCTCCCATTTATGCGCGTTTATTATTAAGTGCCGGATGAGTTATTTGAAATACCAATCGTTCTTTCCAATTCGAATTCTAATAAGACATTCATGTTACATGTCTAGAATGGCAATTCCAGAGATCATTCCTTTTAAAATTGATTCTTCCTATTTTCCTATTTTTACAGAATAGGAGTGGTTTCACCGTGCAACCACTGTGCAATAAAATATTTTCATCACTATATAAAGGCTGAGCGATGGTTTTGTTGCGAAATCACTATGTCTGAAGCTATAATTTGGTTCTAATGCACGCAAAAAAAGAACTAAGGTAAATTAGTGGTCGAACATACATACATGTTCCAATGATTGACATATTGGTTTTGTATTTTTCTTTGTTGCAATGCTTTTCAATATACAAAACAATATAATAAATAAAAAGAAATATTTAGTTACTTTGTGATTTTGTTTCATTTATTGATAAGCATCTTAACAAGTATATTATTAGTAATCCAATTATCGGTACACGTTCAATCACTAGGACGTTTACCTTAGCTTCCAGAGCTAAAAAATAACTGTAGCAGATAAGATGTGTCACTGAAATAGGAATAGCTAATGTCGATATTACCGAAGCTAAATTTATTCGCTGTTAAACTTAGGCCCTAAACAGCGAGAAATATTAGCTGCTAGAAATAAATGACTGTGACAAATGATTGTAGCTGTACCGCAAACTTCTTTAATATATGCATACGATAAGAAATTTAGGAATAACTGCCATTTTCTTAGCTACTTGAAATAATGTGTATTTTTAATGTCACCTAATATATTTGTATTTCATAGCGAATGCATCTTAGCTGTCATAGCCAATTCTTAACAGTGACAGCTAAACGATTAGCCTTTTGACTAAGTTTGAATCAGCTACCGCGGTTTAGCTGATATTACTAAATAATTTTTTTGCGTGTGGGTGATCTCACGATGAAATCATTGTGCTCCAAAGGGTTGAGTAACTCGCATTGTGTCGCACGAATGTTGATTTGCTCGGTCCACATCCGGAAATTCGCTCGACAATTTTCGGACGAATCGTGCAATTTTCACCAAGTAATCCGTCTTATCCGTCACCGTTCGCGTACACGCGCGTCCCGTCCGAAAGGCACCTCCTCGGCGAACATCACGTTTAATGAATCCGATTTAGGGTGCCGAGAAATTCTATTACTCCTCTCGACGTACGAGGAGATTCAAATGATCGCGGCTCCGAGATTCGAGACGATTACGAGGGTCAATTGCGTAATCTGGCATTGTGGGAGCGCGGTTGTTCTATCGGCCCACGCGGGGCGCCGGGTCGTCGTCGTCGTTTCTTAGGGGGAGAACACGCGCGACGGAAAGTCGCTCGGACGAATTGAGTGGGGGTGGGGACCGAGAGGCTCGTCAGAATCTTCCAATTTCGTTACAACGCTCTCACGGACATTGCACACGCTCCAGGAAATTATTCGCTCGAGCCGGTCGTCTAATTGATCGCGAACGGATTGTCGAGAAGTTTAATTGTAGGGACGCGCTGCGCCAGAGGAGACCTACCCGCTCGACGACGACGAGGAAACGCACGGAATTGAATTTCGCGGAGTGACCTCAGGGTCAGTTGCGTTTCCCGTTTCCTCTGCTGTCCCTCGCGACCTACGACGAGGCAAGAAAAAGGAAATGATGAGAGCTAGAGAGGGAAGGAGAGAAGGAGGAAGAGAAGGGGAGAAAAGAACGCAAGTGCCGGGTGAACCCCTAATTCGGTAGAAAACCGCGATAATTACGGTAATTCGTAGCGCGTAAACGTGCACTGTATGCGACACCGAACGACCACGGCTGCCCGGGTCATTAGCGTTGCGACAATGTCTGTGTCTTTTTAACGGCGTACACCACCACCAGCGAAGTCGTCGCATATCGCTAATGAACGCGCGCCCGCGTGTCAACTTTCCCCGGTCAAATCGAAGAGGATTTTGCGCGGCCGGCTTAATGGTAGCGCAGCCACTTTAGGTCGATGAAGATAGTTCTTCGTAATTGGACTACCTGTGGCGTCAACGTTAGTCGCAATTAACGTTGAGAAAACCCATTAGCGAAATGCGGAAAGATGCGCCCGGTGCATTCGCATCGCGTAACCTATCCTAACCCGGGACGAGAGTCGGCGCACGCGATTGCCGGTAATACAATATTTTCCGACATAAATATCAATATGAGCACTATTTGCCTGTTAATTATTGTAATACTCATTATGCCCGATATATAATTTGCGGATTATTATTTTTATCGCTGGGAAATATATCGCATTTACACACGTATATTTCTCGCCGACACAATTATCTCGATTAAACTTACCCATCTCTATTTACAACCGTATAATATTTGCATGTCTCTCGCGGTCCCATGTTCCATATATAATTTTCGTAATAGACACACGTGTGTCTCCTGCAGTCGCGGGCCTCGCAGATTACAACGACTGTTGAATCTGCGGTATATTGCGCGCCCTTCGTATAAGGGCTCTGTCTATAATTGAGATTCCGGGATACGTCTCGATACGAGTCACGAATTGGTCCGCGAGCAACGCAATTGTGCGATCATCGAGACACTCCTCAGTCTCTCCTTCTGTCAATGTGTCGATGTATCGAGATAACAGGCGAAGGAGTAATAACGACGTTTCTCGTGATAATGGCAGTCAAATTAGACACGTGCGTGCACGAGTTACTTGACATTCGTGAATGAAACAAGAGTAATATAAAGAGATGGCATCTTTTGTCTTATCAACATAATACATTGAAAATATTTAAGAAATAAAGAATTTTGAATTGGTGGATATATATATACCAATAACATAGTTGCTTGAATCTGAATTCTTCTATTTAAATAGAACAAAATTGCTTCCATGAGGAATCGGGCTTTTAAGAAAATGTATTGCCTTATTTGAAAAATATTTTGTATCAGTAAATATGTTTATTAGTACCGAGTATATAAATGTTCTTTATTCCTTAAATATCTTTTTCTCTCAATGCACGATTATAAAATATACTTCTACTCATTCTGTTGAATGGATATTGACATTATTCATGATAACCGAGTTTATCGTTGGATATTACTAATGATATACTTTATTTAGTGTGTTTTGGTTATCATTAATGCAATGTTTCTTTACGATCTACGAGAATTGATGTTTAACTACTTTCTCGCGGAATTTATATCGTTTTTTACGTTAGCTGGGAAATTTCTACTCGTGGAAAAGTATAAAATATGTATCTTAGCGCATTGCACATATAATCCGAATGACATTGAGTACGTAAATTGTGAGCGTTTCTACGTAACGCTCTTGGAATACGTGGAGTGCTTATCGTGGTGGATTTGTTTTCCATCTCTTATAATTAGAATAATTACGTATTCACAAATTGCGAAAGAGGATTTTAATTGCGAGCGATACACTGAACGTACGGCACGCGTGCGTTACATCCGTTTTCAATATCTAGAAACGAGGAGGTACATACGTACGTAGTGTACGCATATTTATTAAAACTCAATAATTGTGATTCCCATTTCGCGCGGGCGTACACACTCTTGGAATATATAAAAATAAATTATTCAGGCGATAAATATTATTCGCGGAATAAACGGTCGGAGTCGCAACGCGGTGGTAGCTGATTATTATGCAGTACTCTACGTAAATTAAAAGTCTGGAAATAAATGCCGACGTGTACATTATACCGTCGAACATTTTCAGCTTCCCGTTATTAGATTTAAATTATTGCGCTCAACAAGCAACAACTCTTACCAGCCAATGGCTGCGTTTACAGCAGAGAGAAAGCTGCCTTGCAACCGTTGTACAATTCGTTAATCTGATCGGTATATGCTCTTGGATTAAGCTAAGATTAAGAGCATCCGCAGCAATTAGATTCACAACAGTTGCAAAGTAACTTTATCTGCTGAATGCAGTCAGCCTTTCTTACCCCGAATGTTTACTTTCAATGATTTTGTAACACAAAATCTTTATTTATTCACGCGACTTTTCAGCCCATATTATAATACACAAACATTCTGTATATCGCTGTGAATCGGAAAAACAAATTATATCTAAAAAAATATGTAGTATATTATACAAGGTGTTCGGAAAGTACCGGGACGCCCGAATATCAGGAAAAATATAAGTTTTACAAAAAAATGTTTCAGACAAAAGTTGTGGCGTTTAAAAAGATGTATTTACTGATCACATCAGTTTGACCTTGGGTTGCGTAGCGAAGGTCAGGTCAAGGTCACATTAATTTTTTTAAATG